ATATGAGCAGGCTTTGTTCTTGTTAATTCTTACACAGTATGGCAAACAGTTATTTACATATCATTTACACTGTGCTGTCTTCCAAGAATTCCAGAGACAGTACAAGATTCAACATATATAGGTTAAATGCAAATACTTCACCATCTTCTATGACAGACTTGAGCATCAAGGGAGTTTGAGATGGGGGTAGGAGGGTGGCTCCGAACCCAATTCCCTTTGGCTATTACAGAACAACTTCAGTCCTTTGTTACTGCTGCCTTGATATATAACTTAAGTGACAGACATGCGACAGTCTTATAATTCTAGCAGCTGAAAGTCTGACAGTGTCGTGTCAGCAGGGGTGGCTCCTTAAGGGTCTGGTCCTTGCTGTCTCCTAGGATTCTGCATGAACCTCACCTTGTATTCTTTCAACTCATTTGTATGCATGCCTGTAGTTAAATATCCCTTTTCTATCAGGATGCTAGCTCGCCTTATTGGATTAGGGTAGGGGGTGGCATCCAGATGACCTCATCTTGATTCAACAGCCATGGACAGATATCACAGATTTAGGCACCCAGCAAAATGCAGGCTGTCTGGGTGTACTAGGCAATCACCTCATAATGGAGGGTAGAAACAATTTTAGGTGGGTTTTAATTTAACATGGCTAGAGCTTTTATAAGAAAAGACAGAGATGGGGAAAGGGGAGGGTGCAGGGTGGGGATGAGCAAAGAGAGGAAGGTTGGAGTGATGGCCGTAAGCCAAGGAGCGCTGGGATCACTAGAAGCTGAAAGAGAAAAAGGACCCTCCTATGGGGTTTCAGAGGAGGCATAGCTCTGATTTGTCTCTCTCTGTGTGAGAGAATATGTCCCCATTGTTGCTGTCAACCACACAGTCTGCGGTGCTTTCTTACAGCAGGAGCCTTCAGAAACACATTCTTGCTCCCTGTGTGAAAACCAAGACCATCCCCCCCCCTTTTTTTTTTTTTTTTTGTTATTTTGAGACAGGGTTTCTCTGTGTAGTCCTAGCTGTCCTGGAACTCACTCTGTAGACCAGGCTGGGCTTGAACTTAGAAATCCGCCTGCCTGTGCCTCCCAAGTGCTGGGATTAAAGGCGTGCGCCACCACCGCCCGGCTAAGACCATCCTTTTTGTGTAGACTCTCAACTTCCTGTTCCCTCCACTGCTGAGTCCAACCTATACCACCCCAACTTGTCTACGCCCACACAGTTCTTCTAAAACCTCTCCAGTCTGAGATGTGGAAAGAGTGGATGATTGGTATTCAAGGTTAAGTCTCCCCAAACATTCTCAAGTGGTCCTTTTCCCCCTCAGCCCACCCCCTCTTCAAGCTTAGTCCTCATGCTGTATCTTTGTAGTCACTCCCACTGCACCTGTGCTGCTTACTTTTCTTGTCAACTTGATGCAAGCTGGAGTCGTCTGGGGAGAGAGAATTTCAAATTGAAACTGCCTTTCTCAGTTTGGCTTGTAGGTGGGTCTGTAGGGGTATTTTCTATGGTTAATATGGGAGGGCCCAGTCCATTGTGGCTGGTTCTATCCCTGGGCAGATGGTCCTGAGCCGTATAAGAAAGAAGGCTGAGTAGATCACAGAGAGCAAGCCAGTAAGTAACACCCTCCCTGGTCTCTGCTTCAGCTCCTGCCTCTTGGTCCCTGCCCCAACTTCTCTGCTTGATGGACTGTGATCTGGAGTGTAAGCCAGTAAACCCTTTCTTCCCCAAGTAGCTTTTTGGTCATGGTGTTTATCATGGTAACAGAAAACAAACTAGGGCAGGCCGCATCCATTTTCTCCAGTTGTCAAGTGCACAAGTCAGAATCGGGTGACCAAACCCAGTATGTATTTTCTGTACTTCTCTTCGTTCCTTGCTTTCTTCTTCAGTGCCGTCTCCTTTGACAGCCTTGCCTCCCTCTTGGCTTCTGAAACACCTCTCGTTCTTCTGTTTCCTTTGTTGACTCTTTGTCTACTCTTATGTTGGTCTTGTCTGGGATTTTAGCACTTTTTCTTGTTAGGACAATCTCACTGATACCCTTAGTCTGGATGTACACTGTCAGTAGGGCCGTGATCTCTCTAAAGATGGCAGAGACCCCATCCACGCCTCTGTTATTTTGCTTCCCAGTATTCTTGGGCTTGTGACAGAAGTGTCTGTCTCTCTTCCTTCACAGCTTTCTCCTCTGCGTGAGTCTCTAGATCCGTCCCATCTCTTGAAAGGATATATAGATAATGCAGAATTAGTTCTTATCAAGATCCTTAATTTAGTTGGATCTCTGGAGATCTTTTTCCACACAAGGCCACATTCATCTGATTCTGGATAGACATATTTTTTGAGGGGCCAATACTCAATCCATTCTTGGCACTCCACCGATCACATGTCCCTTAGGGACCCTCTGCCACAATCCGACATCCTCTGCCCTTGTCACTTATCAAATGGCTTGTCCTAAATCTTGCCTTCTTGGCCCATCTGCTCTCCCCTAGTTCATCCCCCAGGGCGGCATCAAAAATGATCTTTGCACAATGTGAAATCGACCACATTGCTCGGCCACTTAAAAAAAAAAAGAGAGAGAGAGAGAAAAGCATGATTCCAAAGCACTGGTCTGCAGCAGATCTGTAATGTTGAATATTTTATGAAGTACGTAGCAATGGAAAGTCCTCTAGCTTTAAACTGCAGAGAATGCGCTCCAGTTTGTAGAGTGGGGCAGTTATAACCCATTTATCTGAGGCATGTCTGTTGTGTGTACTCAGATCTCCCAATTAGTGGACTACTGTATCAGGGCTCCAGGCTCTACATGGCTTTGCCTAACCTAGAGGTCCTCAACCTTCCTAACGCTGTGACCCTTTAATAGAGTTCCTCGTGTTGTGGTGACTCCCAACCAGAACATTATTTTATTGCTATTTCAAAACTGTAATTTTGCTACTGTTATGAACGGTAATGTAAATATCTAATATGCGGGGTCTCTGATATGCGACCCCTGTGAAAGGGTTGTGACTCCCAGGTTGAGGGCTGCTGATCAAACTGGATGCAAGTCAAATATGCATACTTGCTTAAAGTGAATTTGGAAACTCTGCAATCCCTTTGAGGAAACAAGTTTCCAAATGTTTTCCTTAGACTCCAGTATAAGATGGTATCTTAGCCGGGCGGTGGTGGCGCATGCCTTTAATCCCAGCACTTGGGAGGCAGAGACAGGCGGATTTCTGAGTTTGAGGCCAGCCTGGTCTATAGAGTGAGTTCCAGGACAGCCAGGGCTGCACAGAGAAACTCTGTCTCAAAAAAAAAAAAAAACAACCCAAAAAAAAATAAAAGATGATATCTTATTGTTCCTCACAGCTTGTCTCCAATGGAGAATTTAGTACTCTCGGTATGCACAAGCTAACACAAGAACAAGAAGTGGTCAATCTGGGTCCACCCCAATTTGCTCTAGATGGTGCATACTTTACTAGTGTACCTTTACAAAGTCACATCAGAAGGACCGATACTTAGAGAAGGTAGGTCAACGAATGACCCTTATAAAGTGGACCATTTAGTATCACCTGTTGGAAACAAGTAACTGTCACCAAAAGCACCAAGCAGACCAAACTTCCAAGCATCCATGAAAGAAAACCCCATTGGAAAGAAAACCATTTTATTTATTTATGTAGAGACAGGATCTTGCATCACACAGGCTAAGCTCAAACCAACCATGTAGTCGAGGCTCACCTTGAACTCCATACTCTCTTTCCACCTTTGGACTGCTGGGATTATATGTGGTCCCCCATCCTCAGTGTATTTGATGCTGAGGACTGAGCCCAGACACAGTGCATGTTCAGCAAATACTGCATGAACTGAACTATATTCCTAAGACGGATAGGTAGTCGAGTGGTAAAGCATTTGCCAGGCATATCCATACTTGAGGCCTGGGCTTGACACTCCGCCTTGAAAATCCAACATCAAAATCCCAAAACAAAGTTATCACCAAATTGATTCTTTCTCATTAGGTTTGCCTAAGACAACTCAGCCAGACCTATGGGATGATGTCCCCCAACCCCCAGGATGGGTCCTTTATAATGTGCCATGACAGCTTGGCTTCTATTATACTTTTAAGTCTCTTGAGATAGCAAATGACAGAGACACAGCTCAAGTCAGGCAATAGCGTGTATTGACTCAGGAATTGAAAAGCTTTAGGAATGGTTTGGTTTAGTCCTGATTGAATCCAGGGGCTTAAAGAAATGTCCTGGGGCGTGGCTGCTTTCTCTGCCTTTCACTTTTCTTTGTCTTCTGCTGGCTCCTCTCTTAGGACGCCTCTCATCAGGTGGTTCCTGGCAAATGCAGGCTTAATTCCCTCTAAGCTAGCAGCAGCCTCAGAGACAAAACACCTGTCCTTATTCTCCACAAAAAGGGTTCCAGGCCTTCCCACGATGCCCAGGTCTGCAGGCACGAAAGTCCCTTATATAAAAGGTATCAAACGCCTTTGCACATAATCTGTGATACCCTCTCCAGTCCTTTAAATCTTCAGATGCAGCCCAGAATGTGCAAATGCCATGCAAATCACTGTCTACTGTATTGTTCAAGAACGATGGCAAAGTCTGCGCATGTTCAAGTCAGGTACAATCGTTTCTCTGAGTCTTTTTGATTCATGGTTGTTTGGATCTCTGGTGGTGAAGCCCTCAGATATGGCATGTCCACTGCCCTTCGTTCTCCAAGTCCTGCCACCACCAGCATTTCAAGATTGGCTCATACTTTGTCAGTTTGAGTGACACTTCTAGCCTTAACACAATACTAGTGCCTGGCAGATCCAGCTCTCTTTGGATTCAGGGATGAGTTTGCCCTACCAGAGTCACTCGAGGGTGGAAATGTGGTTTCCCAGGCAGGGTAGGAGTTGGTAATAAGCAGAAAAGAATTAGAAAAGCACCATCTGTCATTTCACTATTTGGTGGTCCAAATAGTGGTAGTGAAGAAATTCACCGATGCAAAATAAGATATGTGCACATGTGTCTATACAATTTTTCACACGCTTCTTTTTTTCTTTTCACAGAAGAATCAGGTAAGAGGAATCAGAACGTTCTAAGTCCTGATTACACAGAGTCACAGTCACAGGCTAAGGCGACTCGAAGCATCATGCTCTAATCCATCTCCCCAAAAGAGGAACACGTAAGGATTGCCCACTATAATGTATAACTTGCTTTTTGTTGAGGAGTAGAGGTGCCTGTGTATTTGAGATGAGGCCCCAGCTGGCCTTAAACTTGTGTTCTGCCTGCCTCAGCCTCCAGAGTGCTGGGGTTACAGGCATGAACCACTGTACTGGCTTCACAATGAGATCATGAGTGGGTAGGTAGGCTTGCTTGTGATGTGTAGGTACCGTCATGGTTTAGGATTGATGGAGTCCTCATGTGCATATACGCCCCTTCCTGCATAATTGCATCAGGACTGAATTTTTGAAGACCCCTCTCAAGAGTTGCAGTCTGACAGGTTGGCAGAGCAAACTGCTTTAAGGTTTGTGTTTTCTTCTGCACTAGAAAGCAGCCGCCACCCACCCCAGATTTAATGAGCATAATTTGTCTGTTTCAAAGCTTAGACATGTGGAAGAGTAGAAAGCTTTAGGGGATGGAGAGATGTCTCAGCAGTTAAGAGAAAGTACTGCTCTTGCAGAGGACCCGGTTCAGTTCCCAGCGCCAATATTGGGTGGCTCACAACTGCCTGGAACGTCAGCTCCAGGGCTTCTGATACCTTTTTCTGGACTCTGAGGATACCTGCACTTACACATATGACATGCTGGAGCTCTACCTAAGGTTTCCTGTATGGAGTAAGGAAGATACTTTATTAACTGACTGACATCCCTGTACTTTCCTTCCACACTGTTTTCTGAAGGTGCTCTAGCAATTCTGTCCTTCTCTAGAGCAGGAAGTTGGTGTTGGTGATAGCCTGCTTCATTGTGGAGAAGCTTCTACCACGAGAGTGACGTTTTCTCCCCTATTGATCTACAGCTACTCTCTCTAAAACACGTCTCTTTCCAGCAACAATGTGAGTTTTAAGATGTCTGTCTCTCTGTGCTACTTTTTACAGTAGATCAGGCGTTACAGGTTATAAGGTCCCTCCTGTGTTTTTTGTCTGAGTCTAAGGCTCATCACCTTGGTTTCAGATCAGTAACAAGGCAGGCTTCTGGAATGTGTATATGGTTTCAGTATAAACAGTCCCCAAAGTCATGTATCAACCTGACAAAGTCTAGACTCTAATGTTTGTTTCAGGAGGAAAAAAAAAGGAGCCAATCTTTTTTTTTTTTTTTAGAAAGAATAGCAAATCTGGAAAACCAAGAGAAAAACATGTATTTATGTAACTAGATTATATATTTAGGTAAATTCAAGTAAACCAAAGTAAAAGTGAGCTAATCTGCAAGTCACCATTGTCACTGTGCCTTCAAAAGGACCAGGTGAAAGGGCACGCACCCTTGTCTTGGCTTGACTGGGCAGATGGCAAGCACCTCAGTGCACTGCCTCCAGCATGTGTCTGTTCATTACCATTCCTGCTCTGAGACTCTTAAGTTCAAAGGGATGAACCTGAGTCTCCGGTCAGACAGAACCACCCCTCTCAGGAGCCTGGCTGGCCCGTGGGCACTCTGACCTAACACAGGTAACAATTTACTGCTGATTCATAGGACCCTGGGGATGTAGATCACTACCCTAGAGCTATTTCTCATTTCATGAGAAAACAAACTCCCATGTGAATTTTTCTCATATTCTTCAGGGTACATGGCATGATCCCTGTCTCTCCCATGGTTTTCTCAGACTTCTGAAATGTAGCTCAACCAGTAGACCTGTTTGCCAGAAAGCGAGGGACACAATTTGCTCATTGATATTTAGCTTATGCCAAAGGGTCAAGTCAAGTCAGCAAAAGACAGAAGGACCAAAGCCACATATTTGAAAGAAATATTAAAAACAAATCCAGTAAACGGCAGGAGGAAAATGATGGGGGTTATGAACAAAAATCAATGTTATAAGATTGTCTAGTCCCATGTTAAGTAAGTACAATTTTAAGGCAAATCATTTTCAGTGATATATTTATTCTCACAAATGCAAAACTATACATCAAATGGATATTTAAAAAAAACTATATGCTGGGCCCCTTGGCATATATGTTTTAATCTTAGCTACCTGGGAGGCTGAGGCAGGAGAATTGCAACTTTGAGGATTGCCTGGGCTACAGAATGAGTTTAAAGACGGGCTGGGAAGGTAAGATCCAGTCTCAAAACACCAAAATAAAGAGAGAGAGCTGGAGATATACCCCAGCAGTACAGCCAGTGCCTGCTTAGCCTATATGAAGCCTTGGGTTCAATTCTCCTGCCTACAGAAAACAAACAAAAACAGTAACAGATTAAAACTCTATTCAGTTCATTCATATTAGATGCTGCAACTGTTTGAGTCCTAGTTTCTTCTATAATCAGTCAGAAACGAAAATAGACAAATGGTCCAGACTGGTGCCTTGGGGCTGCAGACAAATGCCATTGTCTAGACTTGCTTCACCAGGAGCATCTCTCTCCCTATTGCTCTCCCTGTCTCTTTGCTAGTCTTTCTCCACTCCATCCTCCTCAGGGCCATGATGGCAATCTCTGCAGAAAAATGCTTCCAGCGCACCCTGGTGATCCCATCTGGCTCCAGGTTCTTTGAAATTGGGCCACATCACACCTTTTTTATTTTCTTTCTTCCTTCCTTCCCTCCCTTCTTCTTTTTTTCCTTCTTCCCCTTCCTCAATTTTTCCTCCCTCCTTCCTTCCTTCCCTCCTCCCTTCCTCCCTTCTCCCACCCACCTTTCCCAGCCCCCCCCCGCCCCCCCTCCGTCCTTCCTTCCTTCCTTCCTTTCTTCCTTCCTTCTTTCTTTCCTTCCTTCCTCTTTTTCTTTGTTGAGACAGAGTTTCTCTGTGTAGCTCTTGCTATCCCGAACTCACTGAGTAGATCAGGTTGGCCTCAAACTCATAGAGATTTACCTGTCTCTGCCTCCCCAGTTCTGGGATTAAAGGCACAGGCCACTGTGCCCTGTTTACAACACACTTTTGTAATTCTATCTTCTCCCATGCTACCAGACTACCTATTATGGTCTCTTAAAATCTAAGACTCATTCATGAAGCCATTGTACCAGGGGTGCCTCCCTACAGAAGTCAGCTGGACAGCAGAGTCTTGCAAAGGAAAGTTGCATTTCCCAAAGCAGGCTCACACCCAGAGATGCTTTCATATCCTACACTCTTCTAGCATGTGGTGTGGTGTTCTTCTCATGGAGGACTGCTGTGACTCTCAAGCAACCTGAGCCATACAGTGAGCCCTGTCTGAGAGTATGAGATCCAGCCTGAAAAAGAAAGAAAAGAGGAAAATAAGTATGCATGTGTGCATGTGTGCATGTATGCCAATGGAATTATTATTACAAAGATTAGATTCTTCTTTGAATTGAATTTGGCCAATTCGGTGATGAGGGAAGGGTATGTGGGGAGGGGCCTAGGCTCCTGTCTGTATTTAGGCTGCTTCTCCACTGTATCCCAAACTGTTCTTTATCCATTTTTGTAACACTAGCTACTACTAATCTAAGAGTGTTTGTGACAGAGTCTTATGTAGCCCAGGCTGGCCTAGAATGCACTATGTCTGACCTTGAACTCCTGATTCTTCTGCCTCCATCTCAGTTGCTGGGATGATAAGCGTGTCCCCCCATACCTGGTTTGGTTAAGCATGTTAATACCATGTTCAGACCTGTCTTTGGTATATCCAGATGATTGCTTTTCAAATTGACTGTATTTTTCAAAACTTAGTTCATTGGTTTGAACAATGACAGGTCTAACTCATTCTTCATGGTTATGTAATACTGTAATATGGATGCTTTATTTTTTTTGTTATCTAATTCAATAATTTTAATCAACAAAGGTAGATGCTCCATGGTTTTGTTATGCGCAGCGTAGCCAGAGATCAATGGTTCTTCCGTGGTCTTGTCTCAGTTCTTCTCTGGGAACGACTGGATAACACATGGACATGTCCCATGTGCTTTTTGCTAAGAGCCCTGATTTTGGTTGAGGTTTAGGGAGAAAGTTAAAAAAAAAAAAAGAATATTTGAAGATCCATTGATCTTCATTGTGTGTCTGGGAATCAGCTGATGTCTGCTTCTGGGTGTGAACGCTAGAGGAGGCCAAGCCTTGACTGCATCCATAGTAGGAACAGGAGTAAGCGTGAGCTGGACCTCAAACCTGTGTCCTCATATACACTTTCATTATATTGAAATACTGTGGTGCTTAACCTTGGGAGGGCTGTCTCAATGTGTTTAGAGCAAAATAAGGAAGTCTATGCTGCAGACCTGGCTCAGAAAGAGCCGTAGGCACACAGGCTTGCCCGTTGGTTACCCTTCATCCCCAAAGGGAGTTAATTATCTGTTGCTCAATAGGATATGAAACATAGCAGAGATGGCTGCTCATTTTAGACTGTTCTGCACCAGGCTGGTTGCTTTTCCAAACTGAAAGCCTGTGATTAGTTTGGTTCTGGTATTCTTCCTCTTGTACAACCAAGCAATAGCTAAGATTATAGGGTTGGGGTTCCCCCAGAGCTCACCTCACCCACCTGATATCTGTTCACGGGAAAGTTTCTGGGTCTGGCTTCTTGTATCTCAGAGGAGGGTACCTTTATCACAGTCATAGGCCCTTTGTGAGAGACACCCTGCTGATAATACATGTAACAGAAACCCTGGCACGAGTCAGCTACCCACTAACTGGCAGTTGTAGTTGAATCTAGAATCTCAGCACTACTGGAAACAGGACGGGCATTCCTCATTTTATAAAGGAGGCATACTCATAATAAATGTGGCTTACTCAAGGTGGCTTCATTAGCTTGAGTTAGACCGCCGTAAACAGAACCAAGGTTATTTAAACCCCGGCAGCAACACTGCTAAGCATGGAGAGACGGATTTGTTTCTGATGAGTCAAAAAGCCTGGAGGTGTTGATAATTAATATACTGAAATTTTTGATGCTGGAAGAAGTAGCAACCTGGGGCGGCCCCCCCGCGTCCCTGGCGCCCGGGAACAGAGGCAAACGGTTCTCTGTGACTGCATGGTCAACCTGGTATACATCATGAATTCTGGGCTACCCAGGGGTATAGAGTGAGATCTAGTGTGGTAGTGTTCTTCTCACAGAGGCCTTCTTCCTCAGATCTGT